TTTTTGTTTTGTTCCTTTTCTTTATATAATTTTTGTATTATTTTATTTTGTAATTTTCATTTTATTTTGTATTATTTTTTTTTTATTTGTTTTTATATCGCGTAAATGTTTAATATTTTATTTTATTATTTTTTTTTTTTATACGAACTACAATTTATTTGCATTCGTATATATGCAAGATGGCTGCTGCTGCTGCTGCTACTACTACTGTGTTACATATTCTATTGGTTAATAAATAAAAAAAATAAAATAAAATAATCGGTAAGAGCTTAATTTTATCGTATTTTTTCTTTTTTTGGTTCAAACAACATTGTTTTTATTTTGCAAAGCATAGTCATCTTTAAAATGAACTTTGACTCGAATCAATTTTTTGTTTTTTGATTTCTGTCTTAATTTCTCTTTAAAAATATTATTTACTAATAAATTAATGATCTTGAGTAGATAATCGAATTTTTAAGCGGATTTAACTCGATGGGGTTTGAAGTGTCAGATAGATATTTGATAAGTGTTGTACAGTATATTCATGACGTGTTTGTTTTAAAATATAAAGAAGAAGAAGAAGAAAATAAAGAGAAATAGATTAAAGATTCGTGTTGAACTCTAGAGTCCACGATGGACTTGATTATGTTTATTGACGTCGATGTTGTTATCGGTAATGAAAAAAAAAAAAAAAAAAAGAAATAAAACTTAATAAGAGACAAGAAGATGTTAAAAAGCAAGTAGACAAGATCAATCTCATTTTTTCAGTAGTACAAACATATATTAGGTAGACCATAAAGTAATGTTACTTTTTAATCTCAAAATTCAAACGAATCAATTTTGAAATAACAAGCTTTTATTATTAATTAATAATTTAATTTGTTACCGTATTAAAAACCTTTTTCTATTTGGTATGCAAAATTTGTAATTTTTAACCTCAAAATTTAAACGAATCAATTTTAAAATAATAAGTTTTTGTTGTTAATCAATTTAATTAAGTAATCACGTTATCAATAACCTTTTTCTATTTGCTATGCAAAATTTGTAATTCTTAACCTCAAAATTTAAAAAAATAAATTTTGAAATAACAAGGTTTTAATATTAATTCACAATTTAATTAATTAATTATGTTATCAACAACCTTTTTCTATCTGGTATGCAAAATTTGTAATTTTTAA